CTTGTCTTTTTCTTAATATAATTACATAATTAGAGAGGACAAACTTGGGAAATTATGTTGTCATGTTAGACGTAAAAACTGCGATACAAAAATAGAATAGTTAAGAGAAGCAAACTGTAATGGCAGATAGTTTTATTGATTTATATTTTGATCAATAAGACATTTGAAAGCTTTCAAGCATGTTGAATTTACATATATTTCTAGATCTGTGAACAAAATAGTTGATAGTTTAGCTAGATACTCTATTTCTTTGTTGAATGAAATCTCTTTTCCCAAGTTGGATCATTCAGAATGCAAAAGATATGTTTAAACTATGTATTTTGTTGATACAATAATAAAAAGGGGTTATGTTTCGGAAAAAAAAATCAGCATTACTTTGGGAGAATGCTCAATTTTACACGAGCTTTGTCAACTTATTACCACAATCTTGCCCACGAGTTTGAGGTGATTGTAAGTTCTTTTTTTTTCAAATAAGAGGCAACGTCGTGTATTTGTATTCATAGACATAATAAAACGCAAACAAACTGACTATGGCTTCCACTGGAAAATGGACACTGAGTGAACTTGAATTGACATGATACAAATACACCTTAACTGATAACAAGAAAACAGACACAGGTCACACTTCAACAGCAACACATTAACTTGAGAAACTTGAAACATTGGAGGATCGAAAATCCAAGTGTCAAACTCTGTGTTTGAGGAGAAAAAGAAACATGGACATGCCAATGCTCAGAAAACCAAGCAATATTTGCTGAGTCGAAACGAATCCATTTGGTGATGCATTAGAGTTGTCTGAAGGACCCCCTGGAGTTGGAGTAGGTGCTCCTACTTGTTGTGCTCTCACAGTTAAATTAGCCATGAAGATAAGCATAATTGCTGCTATAAAAACAAACCTTTGGAGGGCCATCTTTGCCTATTTGAAGGAAATTAAGGTGGTTGTTCGAAATCTGCTTAATCCCAGGTTCTCAGACAAGCTATTTATAGGAAAATGCATGCCTTTCACAATTGTTTAATTAATTGAGTTGCTGGCATTAGAAATAGACAATTCCTAGCAAATTCTTCTTGTCCTTTTCGATAGTTGCATTCTGTAAAACTCTTGATAATAGACAAAAAAAAATCACCAAGTGGCAGAAGCTGATGACTTATAATATGGAATTATCAATTAATCAAGGCTGTTTACTGGCCTGACTAATCGATCGATGTCACAGATTCATTAACAATTGAGAAATGACCTACTACTAGTTACCATTTGGATCGATTCCTTGCCAACATAGAGTAATTTGGTACAGTTGCTACTCGTATTTTGGGTTATCCAATATTGTAAGTTGTAACTTGTCCATTTTGGTCAGTTTTCAATAATCAAGTTTATCCTCTTGCTCTTGACCGTAAGTTCAAATCAAGATACATCAAGGAATAAACTAATTTAACATGACATTCCCTCCTATTTGGGCCTGACTTGCAAGTTGCAAGTATTATGACTCCAACGGCTCATAAAAAGTACCTTTCCCTTTGTATACCACTTGTTTCAAATAAACAAATTGATTCTGCTGCTCATTAGTAATTCACAAGTGTTCTATACGTTGTGGGAAGGAACATCTGCTAGGGGAAAATAGATCGAAGAACTGCATAATACAAAAATGTTACAGATATAGGCTTACTGAAGTACTGAACTAATGGCATCCAAGTAGGGAAATAGAGACATCTTAAGATGCTCGTGAAAGATATCATCATGTCTCTGAACTCTATAATCCACCCCTTAGCTAATATCTTCTTCATCCTGAAAGCTCAGATTCAATGTTTGCAACTTGAAGCCTGAACCTTGTATTGTTTCAACCAAACTGGAAGCCACCCCTGTAGCTTGTATTGTCGTTTGCTTTGTTAACTACATCAAATAACAAGAAAGGTTAACACTGAACCAAGGATATACCATGTTTCATTTCTCGGTTCTTCAAATGCCTTATCTTCTGAATGTACTTTTGCAACAGTAAGTTCAAAGGAAAAGTTTCTCCATGTGTAGATATAGAGATGTTATTACATAATTCACCACAAGACTGATTCCTCCTGTTCTATTCATCAAAAAGAAAGATAGAACTTACCTTTAGCCCTCACCTCGTCAGTTTTCTAAGGTCTTATATTTTTTTTTATCAGGTTCTATGACCTTATATTGTATAACCAGATCAAAGGAATTCAGCAAAATTTTATTGGATGCAGAATTATATGATGAAAATCCTAGACACTCACAAATCCTTTCCGGCTCTCTTCTCTGCAATGAGATCCTAACTTCCATGGCACCAAGGATACTAATATGCACTGAAGGTGGTAAGCTGAAATAAGGAACTGAGATTTGAAATTCTGATGGAAATAGATAGTAACCTTACCTTCCTCTTTTATATGCTTGATCTATGCTAATGAAATTCTTCAATTTTTGGATTTGATGCTGTTAGTATGCTAGGGGAAATAGAAGCTTCAAAAGATAGCTTTGACACTGTTAAATTTTCTACAGAATATCTTAAAGATTAAAATGTAATAAGTACTTTAACAACATTCTTTTCACAAATAATTATTTTTCAGGTTACTTTTGAAGAAGAAATTATTTTCCCCCCTCTCCATGAAAAGTAAAGGATATTGTTCATTTAGATAGACTGTTACTATCATTTCTAGAGAAGCCAAAAAGGCAGCACAAGAAGTTGTCCACTTTGTTGCATATTGAATTTAGGAAATCTGTAAGGAACCTAAAGCATGCTTCAGAGATTTAGTACTTTAATGCAGTATCTCTAAGGCGCATATGCTGATCGAGATGTCAACTTTCTACAATAATTTTCCTGTAACAGATATGCTAATAAGTCAATGTAAGAGAAGCATTATATATGAGAATCACCTCGACACTTGCAATGCCCTCGACAACTTGAATTTTGAGACCTGTAATGCCTTCAATATCCTGTATGCATATGGACAGACGATAAAGGTCAAACTACAAATATTTTTTTTCTTTTTTGATAAGGTCAAACTGCAAGTATTCTTCAATTCCAATTATTAGCTAAAATCAGATGTTTTGGAAGAGAGATGGAGAAAGAGATATAGCTCTTCATCAAACATTCACAAAATCAATTGTTCTCTCTTGCAGCTTCTGAACACCAAGAATCGGATGAATATCTGTACCTGTTCTTTGATTCTAGATTATAAGATTTCAGATATGCCTAGTCCCAAAGAAAAAAATAGTTTAAATCCCTCTTTAAGATCAGAACGTTTTGCTTTCTCTAATTTGTCCTTTAAAGTGCAAAAACCCCGTGTTGTTTGTTTCCATCTACAATGTAATAGCGAGTCTTTCTGGTGCTCCGCAACTAGTATTAAAATTACACAGAAAAATAAAAATTCAGAGTCCCATGCTACTGCAACTACAACTACATTGTATTTCAAATGCACAGACAAGTAGCGTCTTTTGCGAAAGTGTCAACAAATTACCATGTACAAGAAAAAGTTGAATTTTACACACTGAATTTACCTCTAAAGCGTTAGTCACAGAAGGAATAGCAGCTTCATTCATTGTTCCTTCTGCCTGTGATAAGAAAGGTATAAAATCAGTTTACCATTCACAGAAGAATCCACAAGAAGCTTAAGGGTTACAGACAAGTAACAATTTGAAAAAAAAAAATCAAACAAAACTAACACATTGAGCACTAATTAGACAATCAATCAATTAATTAACTAAACCTCACTGCCAAACTAGTTGGAGTTGGGCTATACCAATCCTGTATATGCATTCTTATCCGACCCATTTCACTCCAATAGTCCAATAAGAGCAAGCACTACTAAATACCAGTACTACCAGAATTCTTCATAAATTTACTATGCTTACAGCCTTACACTGAGAATTAACCTCACCCTCCTCCTTTATCCTAACTTAGCGAATTCACATAGTTAGAATTTTTGGATAAAATTAGACACCTCAAAAGAACCCATTTCATATCAATATGAGCACAGACTGAAATTCATTACTACCAGATAAACTATTCCTACACTAGGCATCAACCTACTGCAACCCTCTTCACTTTAATCAGAAAATTCACACTGGTTGATTTTTTTGACAAAATTAGAAACTTCACTAGAACCAAGTTCAAACCAATATGAGCAGAGACTGAAATTCATTACAACCAAATTAATTATTCCTACACTAGGCATTAACCTACTGCAACCCTCCTAACTTCAACCCGAAGGGTTCACATTGGTTGAGTTCATTTTTGAAAAAACTAGAAACTTTACCAAAATAGAAAAGAAGGGGTTAACCTGAAAGAACATAGTGAGGACGTCGGAAGGGGAGACGGAAACAGAAACAGTCTGATCAGATGTAGTGGGAGCAGCAGATTCTTCTTCGGCAACAGCAGTAGCACCATCTTCCTCATTTGCAGAACATATCCTAGTAGTTCTCAATGGTACCTTCGCTTTCACCGAACTTGGAGAGCAAGAATAACCACCGCAAATGCCACTGTTACTTTGAAACCGAAGAAATTGAATTGGGAAAAGCTGGGGAACTGCATTAGATAAAGAATGGGGAATTTGAGAATGAGATTTAGCTCTGCAAACGGAAAATGCTGAGACGGTCGCCATATTTTTTTTCCGACGATTTTTTCACTCTTATCCAGAAGCAAGAATACAAATGGAAGGGACCTATGGATATTTGGGACAAAATAAGTATATTTCGAATATAATACTGCTGGTAGTAGATTATTTCCTCCTAAAATACCAATTATGTTGGGTAATATAAAGTAGTATAATTTATTAAATTATTTTCATTTATTAAGACTATTTTAAAAGATTGAGTAATATTAATATTAATAATTTATTATCATTGTATTATTAGTTTAAATACAATGTTTATTTTGTTAACATTGTTAAAACCCACTTGTAGCCAACTCTTGCCGATAAATTTCCTTTCCACATAATTCAAGCAATCCAAGATATCCAGATTTCAAAGTGCTAGAATATTAACTTTAGAGAACCAATTAATTTTCATTGCAAATGAGAAGAGAATAATCGATTCGAGCAGGCTCCTAAACAGAAGTTTCCCTAATCCAGATGCGTGCACATAATTCAGATCATATATCTACAAAAAACAAACAAGACGTTGGCTTTAGACCACAAAAGATCCATTATGCATCGGTCTTGGGTGTCATTCATCTTCACAAAATCCCAAGCAAGTTGGGGTAGTTGGTGACTTCACATTATTAAGTTGTTTTCTTGTCACATTCCACTTGAAATTCACCATCTGCAAGAAATTTTTCTTATCAGACAGACTTGTCACGGGAAAAGAGAGATTTATTTAAGTACAAGAGAAAGACCCTTACTCTTAAGATACACGGCTAAATTTGCCTGGGCATCGGCTTCAGTGTTGAATTCCTGATATGTTAAACAAGTAAAACCCCTCAGAATGAGATGAAACGATAGGTTTTTAATGATTAAAAGAAAGGAACAATCATGTGTTTAGTACATACGTACAAGTTTAGTTTAAACTCAAATGAAGAGAAATGCGAAACAAAGTGAATACCGGAGAAACATGATTATTCACTTCTAGCAACAAGGTGATGAAACCAATTTCATAGAGCGCATTAGCAAGAAAAGATGAAACTCGTCGTTGCATAAATTAAACATGGCATTCAAGCACCCACCACTTGCACCTTTTCTGGTCACAGGAGACCACACATACACACACTATAGCATTTTCATCACAGAAATAACATGCAGATGCAAGATATAATAAGGACTTCGAAGATCAAAATTCTGATAGACAGGCTCAGTAAGCTCTGAATTAGCAAAGAGGAGAAGTTGGCCATACTCTGTAAATATGGTTGATCTGGAATGACAAAAAATGATCTTTAAGCTCTTTCACAATCTTGGATAGCTCAGCCATGTTCTGGTTCTTGCATTTCCAGATTCCTTGAGTCTGTTCCATGATAGAAATTTTTAAAGAACGAGAGATCATCCCCGAAGCAGTTCCAGCAATAACTTAATACTTAATGCAATATAAATAGCACTGCGAGAACACATGATCTCAGAATAAGGTCACACAGGTTACAAGGGCAAGAATAGCTACACTTTTGAACTGGTTTGAGTGTCTCTTAGGATGGAAGGGGTGAGGTGCCATCAAGAAGGAAAGCTTATACCAAATCCTATAGGGTCTTTATACTCATTCCCAGATCCATCACTGCAAAATCTCTTAGGCATTCTGCAAAACAATCAAATTAACCTACACCTTTATTCTCCAGCTCACTTTGGGATGAACAGAAGCAATTTTTCCGAAGACAATGTGGGAATCCAAACTGCTTGCCTACTGCTGCTCATTCTTCTATGCCACATCATCTCTTAGCTCTGTCATTTTTTAATATAACAGAGAAATCCCCGAGGATCAATGAGACACAATTCAAAACTTGGTGGATAATGCTTAGCTTTTCCCATTTCTTTTTAAAAGCTTCCTTGGATCATTTCTCTCTCTTCTTTTCTTAAAACACTGTCAAGTGTTGAATGTAATATAGTATTAATTGGTTTCTAGATTTTATGTAGCTAAACCGACTTTGCCTCATAAAAAGAAAAAAGTAATATGCAGAATTACATAATAATAAACTCAAATTAGTTTTTGTAGTTTACCTTATTCGAGTGCACTTCTAAACTATCTTATACTCCCTAACATACCCAGTCATGTTCATCCACAGTGTGGATTCCACTGTGTGATTTTGGAGTATACACTACAACCTGTGGAGTATACACTAAGATAATACTACAGCTACTCCATCCCAGGCTAACTAGGGATGACTTAAGATGATACTCCCTCCGTTTCACAAAGAATGACCTGGTTTGACTTGGCACAAAGTTTTAGAAAATAAAAAAGACTTTTGAATCTTGTGGTCCTAAATTAAAGTTATGTCAAATGTACTAAATTGCCCTTCAATCTTGTGACTTTAAACATGTAACGTGGAAAGCTGAAATTAAAATGTTACCAAAAAAGGAAAGAGGTCATTCTTTTTGAAACAGACTAAAAAAGAAAGGAAGTCATTCTTTTTTAAACGGAGGGAGTAATACTTAATACCATAGTCCATCAATAGAGATCAAATTTATCATTATTTGGAATGGTCTACTTTCTGGGGCATCTGTGTAGCCCGGGGATTATAAGTATGTCTCAGACACTCTTAATTGCTAGGACATCAGCGGAAAAAGCTCTTCAGCAATTGCTTTAGAACTCAGTGGTTTCAACAAGTTACTGGAATATATAAATTTGACAGGATATTTAAAAGTGGGAAAGAAGAAATAATTGACTAATTTGCTAAAGGGAAAATGAAAATAAAACAAAAACAGAAGTAAGAAGAGTAAAGAAGACCTGCATGCAGACAAGTTTTGAGTCACCCTTAACTTTTACATGTTTGAAACCTTTCTCAAGAGCATATTTTAGCCCTAAGATTACACCTCTGTATTCAGCAACGTTGTTAGTTGCCACACCCACACCTTCACGCAACCGGAAAACCTACAGAAAAGAACTACAAGTCGAAAACCTGTAAATTTGTGGCGACAAACCACATCTTCTAAATGGAAAGGGAGCATACCATACTTCCATCTGCAGCACGCAGCACAGCACCAGCACCAGCTGGTCCAGGATTCCCCTTTGAAGCCCCATCAAACTCAAGAATGCATGAACACTGCACGTAGGGGGGCTGAAGGTATCAAGTTACAAAATGTTCCTCCAAGTTAGAAGCAAAGATCACATACAGATAGTAGACATGATATCATGACTTGGAGCTGAAGTGCCAACAGAATTAGTACACTACAAAATGGCTCAAAACATAAGTTCAACGGGAACCTTTTTTCCTTTTTTTAGCACATAAGAACAAAGTCCAAATAGATTCTTTTACGTTGTTTCTTTAATCATCTACATATATATATATAGTGGTTTTCTAATTATTTGTATTTTGAACAATTTATAAAATTGCATACATATTAAAACTACAACTTACAATTTTTATGTGTAAATGTAGATGATTTATTCAATTTTCCTATTGTTTACCGTCTTTTCGGTTTTAAAAGTAGATGGTTTATCTTTTTTTAAATTGAAAATTGACATTTTGTGAGTGATTAATTCATTAAGATGACAACTATTTATCCTTAAATAATTCAAGTGAAAAAATAGCAAACATGACAACAAAATTGTTCAACCCCTAGCTAGTTAGAAAGCCATAGAAAAATAATATTGTCCGGCAATTATCTAGCTTGACCCAATTACATAATAATTCAAGGGTATAATTGGAGAAAAACTTTTTATAGAGTTTTAATCCAAACACAAGATGGGTGGGAAACAATGAGCCAAACACAAGATAAAATAAACCCTGCTTTACATATCCCTGCACTACTAACCCCTGCATTAGTAATCCTTGCATTACTAATCAGTGTGTTATTAATTTTTATACCAAACGACCCCTTACATTCTAAAATAAACTTAATACAAGTTATGTTGCTCGGACTCTTCAAAATGTTGACGAGAGCATGTCGGATCCTTCAAAAGTAGTGCATTTTTGGAGGATCTAGCATGGGTGCGGCACTATTTATTGGAGAATCCGAGCAACATAGATTACATGTAAATTTTGTTACCATCTTCAAACTTTGGACTTTTGTGCAACCTTAACCAACAAAGTTCCACTTTGCCCTTCACAGTTTGATTTAAGAATCACTCGGTCCTCCTTGGTTCAGTGGTTGCCGAATCAGGACTTTTCAACCTTTTATTTTCCAAATCAGCTCTAATAAGCATCACTTTCCTCACTAGTTTTGTACATCAGCAGCATAAAGTCAAAACATAGGAGCAAGCCCTATCCAAGGCTAACACCACCCACCAAATCATCCCCCCCCCCTGGGAATGTCAACATCCAGATAAAGCAGACAATGACAAGAATTTAAACATATTGATACAAGAATTATTAGGCAAAAAAATATACTTACACAATATGACGAAATCGGGGGAATTTCTAGGCAATTGTCTAATTTGGCATGTTTTTTGCTGACCAGCAGCTGAAAACGAAGGAGATGCAACCACCTCCATCTGAATGTAAGGAAAAAAATCATGTGAATATCAAAGACACTACACACACCTTTTCATAATAGCAAGACTTTCACATGCTGACTCAATTAAATTAGAAAGGTATATTAAACAAAATGGAGGACCGAACAAATTATCATAAGGCGAAGACAAGATTAACTAAAACTTGTGAGTTGAACCATCGATAAAATTGAGTTCTTAGGACAATAAATCAGATTTATACTAGAAACGATAAATGTGAACCACAACTTCGTTAATAGAAGCAACTACACGCAGCAAACAGGCTTATCCTTGACATTTATACCGCCACTAGATGAGTATCCTCATTTTACTTCAAGAGCTATTGAGGAAACCACCATCCCTAGGCCAGACAATTAGTTTCTTATTCCAGGAAAAGCACAAGCCTAATAATAAACACCATCCGAAATTTCCATCCCATCCTACTTCACAACATGTTAAGGCATTGTAGTAACTGATGATATAGTTGTTTTGATGACTGAAGTTGGGCATAAAGAAAGTATATCAGTTATGACATTTCAAGAAAGACATACCCCATCCAATCAATGTAAGAACAATCTGGATTGACCATTAAGAGATTACCTGCATCCTCTTTTCCTGAAGATTCTTCCCGATAATTTTATCTTTCGAAGAGCCAGGTTGCTGCAAAAACAGAACAAAAAAATTTAAAATTCTGCATGCATGATATCGTCCTTAATGTAAAATTGTTACTAGAAAACATGCTGAATTTGGTTTTCTTCAAGGCACAATTATAAACCATAGACTGCTGAATTTGACAGAGCGAACGGGAACAGACATATCAATAATTAAATGCTAAAACATCTAAGACTTTCAACTTAGGTATAGCTGAAAAATGTACAAGCAGTATTATCTGCACTCTTTAATTACCAGTCAGTGGTCACAAGACACAATAGAGGAAGTAGTGCCATGGCAATGACAAAGCGAGGAAAAACTAACAAATCAACCAAGTGAATTAACCTATCAACGATATCAAATTGGATCCCAAGAATGTCATATGTAAAGCTACTTGGCAAGTTTCTCTGACCACAAGTAACAGTAGTCAATTCTGCATCGGAGACAGATCTGACCCCTTTCCACCCATGAACCAAATTAGTCTTGAAGCAATACAACGTATGGCAGTAGCATTATCAAAAAGAAGTATGCGCCACAAAAAGTAGGCATGTATGACATTTTCTCTTTGAAATGCTACCACGTACCACATAATCGGATGAACACTTAAGATTTTTTTTTAAAAAAAACTGCAGTTTATTCACATTAAGCTTTTCAATAGTATTCATCTTTTTTTTGTTAGCTTTAAAACAGTATTCATCTTGGTTTGCTCTCTCATCTAATGCAGCAATAAATGATTTCTTCCCAGTTCCAGTCCTACACCTTTCAATTTCTATTTTCAAATACATAGAAATCTAAGTAAATATTCACTTCCTTTCTCATGCATCTTGGCTTAAAGTTCTGCTGGTGGTACAAAATTATCCAATGACATCAATTTTAAATGTCATCCGTTCAAAAATCACCATTAAAGAATCAATGCTAGCAAAATAATATTATTTAAATTTTCTATATACCTAAATATATTTAGTTTAAAAAAATTCAGAATCTCTTTTACCAAATACGGGCCTCAGCTAAGTGTTCAATAAAAACTGTATAAGCAAAGATATAAAGACACATCATCCCGGAGTAATTCTTCCAGTAATGATTGTCCTCATATGATTGTAGAAGATGGAGTGATATTTTCCTCTTCCAAAACACAAGGCACTTCATTATTTAGAACCTATCCTACATAGGAAAAATTAATCTCATGAGCTCAAAACCATTTCTGCTGCGCCAAAATGTTGTGTCATGAGATAAATTGGAAGGAAAAGACAATAGAGAGCGCTGAAGAGCTATCTCTTATCTCAACAATCAGATGAAAGTGCATCAAAGAGGAACAATGAGATGGACATCATGTCAAAGCGATAAATAACAGTTGCATTCAATATTTGTCCATTTTCTTTAGAAAAAGGAGCTACATGGAAGCACCAGCGCCATGCAAAAGAAGATATCAAAGCTAGGCAAAAGACATACACCTAAAGACATAAAAAGTCACTAAATGGAGTAGCTACAATTGGTAATCACTACCACTCAGTTACCAGTAAAAGGTCACTAACTGGAGAATCAATCCTACTCAATTGCCGATAACATAGTTGGAAGATCAAAAGAAGGATTAGTTCAGCCTGACCGAGAACAATCATGCAGTCAGTCAAGGTTGCAGCACACTACTGGGTATGAAACTTAAAAGCCGGACATTAGCCAAAATTTGACCCAACTATTATCAAACAGTTAAGACAAAATTGTCAAATAGATAAAACAACTACATCTACCACCAGTTCAATAACAGTAAAATGATCAACTTTCTAACCCGAAAAGGGCATGGGACGAGTATCCCAAAGAGATCATCTCGAACATCACTGAAATCCATAGAATACATTGCATTTTTGAGTCCATGAGATGCCAAATACTCTTCTGATTGCTTAGCCAGGTGATAACCTTTATAAACACTTATGGCTGGTTCACCAACCTGAAAGATCACAGAAAAAAATAGAAAATACATTCAAAAAAAAAAAACATCTGATAATATTATTACTTGTGCTCTTATCAACTAAGCCTCAACTCTGAACTAGTGGGGTCGGCTATATTGTATCCAATTTGCTCTATTTCTTCATCATTGTTAAAAAGCTGTAATAATTAGACTCTTCTTATACTTGAGCTCTACATGACTCCAAAAAAGTGGTCCAACAGATAACCCCGTGTAAGGCCCAAAAGCAGAAAAAACATTAAAGGAAACATACAGAAGATCGTAGCAGAGCTTGTAAATCACTCAGGTTCTTATAGACAGCGATCACATCCCCTTTATGCACGACATAAAAAGCATCCTTTTCGTCCCCCATTTATGTGTCCAACTCCAATGCGTTTACTTGGCTTTGCAAGTTACTCCACCACTGTATCAACACAACACAGTATTACTTAGTAAAAACACAAAAACAAATACTAAAAGTCCAAGTTCCACTCATAAAAAAACTCCATTCTAGACTCACTGAACAATTTTCAGTATACATAATACCTTGCATGTATGATCAGTTGCAGTTAATATAGTATCAATGATACTCAATTACCATCTCAATTAGGGCTTTTTTGTATTAAAAAAATAATCATATTTCAGACACAAAGATAAACGAATTAGGGTTTCTGAAAACATAGAAAAGAGAAAGAATACAATGAAGATTCTTACCGAGCAGAGGAAGAGAGTGAAGGGAGGGAGTAGTTGGGACTGGGGGAGAGAGAATTGGATTTTTTTGCCAGCTGCTCATCTCAGGTCTTAATAGTTTCCCCACTTTCGTTTAGTCCCGGGTAAACGGGTCAGCTGATTTGGGTCCGAACTGCATATTTGGGCTGTCCAGATACGTGTCTTTCCGGCCCAATTATAATCTCTGAACATTGTTCTGTCCTTATACTTTACGCAATTACTTAGTATTTTTTTATTTGGTACAACTCAAACACTAAACTAAACAACTACTATACTTTATTTATGTTCAATTTGGTAAGCTTCCACATCAAAAGCAAGATCTGGAAAAGAAAAATCATATAAAAGCTTTTTTTGAATTTCCTTCTCATAATTCAATGTTAAAACACAGCCCTGTGTGTGAATATGTCAGTGAAACTAATTTACGTGACAACAGCAACAGTAAGACAGGTTTCAACGTGCTACAATATCAGTACTATAAAAAAGATGCCTGGTACTTGTCCCAACCAATTTTCATTGCAAATTAGGTTACACCAGAAGCTACTTTCAATCCAGATATATAATTAGGTTACATGCACATAATTCAGATCATATATCTACATGTTACAAGACGTAGTTTTAGACAACTGAAAATCCAATATGGTCCGTCTTGGCGGTCATTCATCCTTTCCTAAATCCCAACAAGTTGAGGTAGTTTGAGACTTATTAAGTTATCATGTCACATTCCACTTGAATTTCGCCATCTGCAAGAAAATATTCTTATTAGATTTCTCACGGGAAAAGAGACACTTATTCAAACACAAGAAAGGGGCCACAAGATAAAGACCCTTACTCTTGAGATACACGGCTAAATTTGCCTGGGCATCGGCTTCAGTGTTGGATTCCTGATATGTTAAACAAGTAAAACCCTCGGAATTGGATGAAAAGACAGCTTTTAATGTTTAAAAAGAAAGGAACAATTATGTGTGTAGGAAAAATCTGAACTTGTCATGCAGAGCAACCAGAACAGAGTGAATTGATACACTAGGTAAGCATGACTATTCACTTCTAGCAACAAGGTGATAAAATCAATTTCATAGAACAAATTAGCAAGAAAGAGAAATTATATATAGTGCATAAATTAAACATGACATTCAAGTACCACCACTTGCACCTTCTTCTTTTTTTATGACAAGGGAAACCCGCAGCCGCTACCCTTTTGGGTGCGCACAAGGTAAAACCCCCGCTCCTATGCAATAGCTCACAAACCACATAGGAGAGGTAACCCGCACTAGGCAAGCCCGGTGCGATGAGCTCGACCCAGAAGGCAAACCCCTTGCTTTCGCTGGCAAGGGGTTTCGAACTTGAGACCTCTGACATGGAAGTCCCAAGCCCAAACCACTGGGCCACCCCGAAGGATACCACTTGCACCTTTTTTGGTCACAGGAGACCACACTATTCCATTTTCATCACAAAAACAACATGCAGTTGCAAGATATAATGACTTCGAAAATCTAAATTCTGATAGACAAGCTCAGTAAGCTCCAAATTAGCAAAAGAGGAAAAATTGGCCATACTCTATCCATATGGTTGATCTGGAATGACATAAACTGATCTTTAAGCTCTTTAACAATCTTGGATAGCTCAGCCATGTTCTGATTCTTGCATTTCCAGATTCCTTGAGTCTGTTCCATGAAGAAATTTGTAAAAACGAGAAACCGGCCCAGAAGCAGTTCCAGCAAAAACATAAAACTAAATGAAATATAAATAGCACGGCAAAAGCACATATGATCTCAGCATAAGATCACATAGGTTGCAAGGGAAGAATAGCTTCACTTTTGAACTGGTTTAGGTGTCTCTTGGGATGGAGTGGATGAGGTACCATCAAGAAGGCAAGCTATACCGACCCATAATTCCTATCAAATTACATATAGGCTGAATATGTCTCAAATCCTATAGGGTCTTTATAGTCGCTCCTAAACCTGTCACTGTAAAATCATAGGCATTCAGCAAAACAGTCAAACTAAAGCCAAATAAAAGCCAAGTAAAATAAGTTTCTTGAATTAATCATTATCCTACACCTTATGCTCTCTGGGATTCAAATTGGGATGTTGAGAAGCAAGTTTTCCCAAGACAATGTGGGCAGCCAAACTGCTAGCCTGCTGCTGCATTCTTTTATTCCACAACAGCTCTTAGCTTTGCCATTTTCTAATTATAACCGAGAAATCCTCGAGGGCAGTGATGCACAATTCGAAACTTGGTGGATATTGCTTAGCTTTTGTCATTTCTGTTTAAAAGCCTTCTTTGATCATCTCTCTCTCTCTCTTATTATAGTATTTCATGTTTTTATGTAGCTGGCCTAATCAACTGACTCATCAAAAGAAAAAAGATAATATGCAGAATTACAATTTGTGAGAAAAAAGTCGAGGTGAAGACATGGAGTGTGGTTGGATAATGCTTGAAAAAAGAAAAAAAATGATAACATTGTGCATTAAAAGGAAGCTGGAGAGACCTTTATAGAACTGAAAGTATTGGTGCAATAAAAGGTAAACTATATTCACTCTCTAAATCCTCCACAAAATTCATTTTTTTTAAAATTAGATTTGTTGATGTTCCATTTGGTTGATTTTGCTATGACTATTTATGAAATATGATTAAATGAATTATACACACACATTCATTTATCTCTCTGTGTGTGTGGTGCTTTGGGGTGGGGGGTCATTGAGTCTTGAAATACATTTGTTCTAATTGTCAAATTTCATATGGGCATATTTTGAGCTCAACCATCAAGTCGCGAGCTAAGAATCACATTCATGAATCTTACTTAATTAATTTGTGTTAATTTTATGTGATTATGCAAAATCATATTCTAGTTAATTTGGGATGTACGTGTCCAAAAACTAGTTGGTTAAAAACCATGTGTCTCATTATTTGGAATGGTCCACTTTCTGTTGGTGTAGCCCAGTTTAATGAATATGTCTCAGACACTCAATGGCAAAAGCTCTTCAGCAATTGTTTTAGAAATCAGTGGTTTCAACAAATTACTGAAGATATATAAATTTGACAGGATATTAAAAGTGAGAAAGCAGAAAAAATTGACTAATTTACTAAAAGTAAATTAAAAATGAAACGAAAACTAAAACAAACAAAAAAAAAACAGCTGTAAGAAGAAGAGAAAGAAGACCTGCATGCAGACAAGTTTCGAATCGCCCTTGACTTTAATGTGTTTGAAACCTTTCTCAAGAGCATATCTTAGCCCTAAGATTACGCCTCTGTATTCAGCAACGTTGTTAGTTGCCACACCTACACCTTCACGCAGCCGGAAAACCTACAGAAAAGAATCACAAAGTCGAAAACCTGTAAATTTGTGGTGACAAACCACATCTTCTAAAAGGATAGGGAGCATACCATACTTCCATCTGCAGCACGCAGCACAGCCCCAGCACCAGCTAGACCAGGATTCCCCTTTGAAGCCCCATCAAACTCAAGAATGCATGAACACTGCATGTAGGGAGACTGAAGGTTTCTATTTACAAAATTGTTCCTCCAAGCTTCAAGCAAAGATCACATAAAGATACTAGTACTTAAAAGAAAACAGTGTGTTCATCATATTACAAGCGAGTCACACCACCCTATTTGGCGAAATAAGACCAACTCAGCTACAATATCTTATTTATGTCACAGAGACATGATATTTTGACTTGGAACTGAAGTACCGCAAAATAAATACAGTGGCTCAAAACATAAGTTCAAAGCACATTACTATTTCTGTAATTATTGTATATAGTAAATGCACAGGTTTAAAAGTGAGTACCTTCTATATTGTCTCTTGCCACTATCTTATTTGGAGAGGTCAAAGATACTTACTGAGTACTCTTACTCACCCTACACTTCTGCACCGAGTGTGCAGATATGGATTCAAGCTTCAGCGGAGTGAGTGAGAATTCAAGATCTATCAACATCCCAGTGTGAGCTGTTGAGCTATCAGCTTGTTCATGGTAACTTAGGGTCTCTTTGTTCTGATTTGTACTTCAGATTGATTATGCATTAATCTCATACAGAATTGTACCTCATATTCTTAGTGACTCATGACTTGTGAGTTGTGACATCAGTTCCTGAGGCTTATCAGATATTGTTATTTATGCTATATTCACTGTTCTAGATTTTTATTACCTCTTATTGCCAAAGTGATTGAAGAATTATTTCTTGTTGGTTTGCCCGATGAAGGACATTGGGTGGTTTCAGTCGTGACAGGCTAACACGATCCTATCCCTCAGAATATCAACATACAGGTAAAGCAGAAAATGAAAAAATTTGCACATCTTGATGCAAAAAAAATTTAACTTACAGGATATGACGAAATTGGGGGAGCTTCTAGGAAATTGTCCAATTTAGCAAGTTTTTGCTGACCAGAAGCTGCAAATGAAGGAGATGCCACCAACTCCATCTGAACGAAGGAATAAAACAAAGTGAATATCAAATACTTATCCACGACATTTATTCTACTACTAGATGTTAGTTCTCATTACACTAAAAGAGTTATCGAGGAAACCACCATCACTAGGCCAGACAATTAGTTTCCTATTCCAGGAAAAGCAAAAGCCTAATAATAGACAACGTGTACAAACTTTCCATCCTATCCTACTTCAGAATATATTAATGCTCGGCAATAATTGATGATATAGTTTGATGAGCTAAATGAAGTATATCAGTTATGATTTTCAAGAAAGACATGCCCCATTTAATAAATGCAAGAATAATATGGATTGGCCATTAAGAGATAACCTGCATCCTCTTTTCCTGAACATTCTTCCCGACAATTTTATCTTTTGAAGAGCCGGGTTGCTGCAAAAACATGAAACATTAAAATCCATCCGCATGGAATGGTGCTTGATGTAAAATTATAACTAAAAAAACATGCTAATGTTGTTTCTTTTCATGGAACAAAATGTATTCAACAGAGCAAAAGGAGACAGACATTTCAATAATTGGATGCCAAAAAAATCTTAGCATTTCAAGTTGGGTCTAGCTGAAAATTGTAAAAGCAGTATTATGCTCACTTTGTAGTTACCAGTTAGTGGCTGCAAGACACAATGGAGGAAGTAGTTCGACATGACGGCAATGACAAAGCAAGAAAAAACTAACAAATCCAAAGTGACAGAACCTATAATCAATATTAAATTTGGATCCCAATAATCACATTTGTACAGCTATTAGCAAGCTTTTGTGACCATAAGGTAACAGTAGTACAGTTATGCATTTGATACAGATCCAGACCCCCTCCCCCCAAATATGAGAATTAGTCTTGAAGCAATATAACATATGGCAGTAGCATTATCACCAGGAAGGTGTGTGCCACGAGAATAGGCAAGTATCACATTTTCTCTTTGAAATGCTACTACGTATCACATAACCAGATAACACTTCAAAAAATTATTCTTCAGCTTATTCACATTAAGCTTTTCAATAGTATTCATTTGTTTTTAATTGCTAGCTTTTCAACAGTATTCACTCGGTTTGCTCTCTTATCCAATGCAGCAAAGAAACGATTTCCTCCCAGTCCTCCACCAGTCAATTTTATTTTTCATGTACATATAAATCTAGCTCAACTTTCACTTCCCCTCTCATGCATCTTAACTCAAAGTTCTCCTTTGGTAAAAGTTTATCCAATCACATCTATTTAATGTGTCATCCGTTCAAAAATCACCGGAAAAAAAATCGTCGCCAGCAAATATTATTATTATTTCAATTTTCTAGTACCTGTGAATATATAGTAGAAAAGTTAACATTCTCAAAAAAAAAAAAAAAAGGTGGAGGGGGGGGGGCAGTTTCAGCCTGACCGAGAAAATTCACGCAGTCAGTCAAGCTAGTGGCGCAATTCTATCGTCTAAATCATGATAACAAAAGGACTGATATATATCTTTCAAAGCCGGAAAATAGCCAAAATTTGACCCAACTATCATCAAATTGACAGTACTACCAAATAGATAAGACAACTGCGTCTAATGCCAGTTCAACAACAGTAGAATGATTAACTTTCTAACCCGAAATGGGCATGGGATGAGAGTCCCAAAGAGATCGTCTCGAACATCACTGAAATCCATAGAATACATTGCATTCTTGAGTCCATGAGAGGCCAGATACTCTTCAGATTCCTTAGTCAGGCGATACCCTTTAAAAACACTTATGGCTGGTTCACCAATCTGAAAGATTAGAATTAAAGTAATACATTCAAAAAAGAAACATCTGATAGTATTATTAATTTTGCTCTAATTAATCAATCAATCAACTAAGCCTCAACCCTAAACTAATTGGGTTGGCTATAATGTATCCATTTTGCTCTATTTCTTCATCATTGTTCAAAAGCTGGAATAATTAAACTCTTCTTATACTAGAGCTATAAAAGACCCAAAAAAAAAAGTAGCAGTACAATGGATAACAATGACTATAAAGGAAACTGTCTTTGGCCCAAAAGCAGAAAAGTATTTATTTAACCTTAGAAGGCTAAGGAAAACATACAGATGTTCGTAGCAAAGCTTGCAAATCGCTCAAGTTCTTATAAACCCCGATCACATCCCCTTTGCGCACGACATAAAACGCATCCTTCTCGTCCCCCATTTTATGTTTCCAACTCCAACGTTTCGACTTGAGTTTGCAAGTAACTCCAGCACTGTATCAACACAATCATAAGTTTTAGCAAAAGAAGAAACGGAACAACAACTACAAGAGCCAATTTTCAAGACTCACAAAACAATGTACAGTCTACGTATTATTACTATATGATTTAGGGCATTTTCTTTTTATTCAAAAATAGACTCGAATTTCGGGCAGAGATATATCGAATTAGGGTTTATTCGAAAACAGAGAAAAGTGAAAGGAAGGAAGGAAGATTCTTACCGAGCGGAAGAGGAGAGTGAAGGGAGTAGTTGGTTGGAAGGTGAAGAAAGGGAGTTTTAATGGAGTTTTGTCTTTGTCAATAGCTGATGCTGATCTCTCAAGTTTCATTTTGGGAAGTCGTGTAATATGTCAGCTAATTTTGATCCGAAACTGCATATTTGGGCTGTTTGGTGGAAACCTCAATTGGGCTCAATATTTCCAAGCGGCCCGGCCCATAGGCTACTCCACAAGCAAAAATGTATATGTATATTGGATACATAATTGTATATATGTAACTACTATGTATATGTATCAATGATTGTGTTTGTATATCTGCAGAAAATTTAAATTTGTATACAATTGAATCGAGTTAAAACATTTGTATTTGTATATCAAATCTCTCTCTCGCTTTATACAAACACAAATTGTTCATTGTATTTGTATAATTTGTGTTTATATAAACCGAGAGAGAGAGACAAAAGAGAATTGGGCAGGGAAAAATTTGTATTAGTATAATTGTAAGTGTATAGGACGGAGAGATATGTATTTGTATTTGTATATATAGTCTCTTTCACTTTATACAAACACAAACACAATTTATACATTTGTGTTTGTATAAATGTGAGAGACGTGAGGGAGAGAATTGAGAGTGGCGAGCGAGATTTAGGGGAGAGAGACGAGAATGGCAAAGTGTTTTCTACGAATTAGAATTAAACCAAACTATAGCTATAAAATTTATTTTGAATTAATTGTTCGCTATTATGCACAATTTTCCCCACTGGCCAGAATATCACAACTATTTTGAAATTTTATTTTTTTTTGTAAAAAAATGATTTAAAATTATTTTTTCACTTTCCATGAAAAAAGGTATATGTGAGTCATTTTTGTAGCAGAAAAAATATATGTAAGTCATTTTTATAACGAGGGATACCTTACCTCTAAATGACAGTTAAGGGTTATATCAAACCCTTTTCTTTTGTTTTATTTTGTTTAAATTATCAAATAGTTCTTGTTATTATTCCATATCAAATCAAAACATGAATTAAGTTGAGTAATGTAAAGTTGTTTTTTTTTTTTTTTTTTTCAAATTGGGGGTATGGGAAAGGGAATTACAAAGGTGGATAATTGAATGCTTATTATTAGTTATTACAATGAAAAATTAAATAGTCAATCAAGAGATTCTACTAGTGTTTAATTAGAATTTTCGTTCATAAAAATAAAATGAAAATTTTCAAATCATAAATCAAATTGTTTTTGGAATTTATGCCTTTGAACAAATTTCTTAATTATTGAACAACGTACATAAAATAAAAGTTAAGAGTGAAATTTAAAGAAAAAGTCCTCGCTATATAAGACGAAGATTCAACCTGTAAATTTCATGAAGTGTTTCTAAATCATATTTAGTGAACGGATAAGTTTTTCATGGCGAAAAAATAATTTCTAATCACTTATAAAAATATTTTCAGATTATTAATGACTATAGTGGATAAGTAAAGATGAACAAGAAATATTTTATATGTTAAATTCTTTTTTTCTCATTTGGTGTCCAATACCACATTGAAACTTGATTAAATTTGGATTCGCGCCTGGAAGTTTCATTTTGGGGTAAACACATTCTCTAACAAAGACAACTTTGTACCTAAGGGAACTGGAATCCGATACCTCTTAGTTAAGAACGAAAGAGTACTTACCACTCTATCGTAACGTTGATGGTACATGTATGTTAAATTCATGTGGTGAACATTAATGATAAATTGCTAAATTTGTTTATCACGTAGGATTATATAGTATATATATGTTGGGTCTGAAGTGGTCATGTGTGTATAAGATGGATTATGACCTGTCGTGCAAATGGGTTCAGTGAGAGTGTACCTAACCACTACCTACTCAAGAAAAATGAACCCATTGTTCTCTAAAAGTAGGGCACGCACCACATTTCTCTCTGTCCCTCCCTGCTATTTTTTCTCACAACACCGATATAAATTGACTCATATTTTTCTCTTCTCTCGTTGTTGTCAAATGAAGATGAATTTGTGTAATTCTGTCCAGACACGAAAGAATGTTCAAAATTATAATGTCTTCAAGGGGGACAAGTTTCTTAACTTGGGAAGCCCAGGTTTTTTATTGCTCTATTCACTCTTTTTAACTGTGATTTTCAGCTGCTACATGCTTCATTTTCCCTTCAGCCCAATCCTCAAATTTGCAAGCAAACAAGATTCAGCTCCTCCTACTAACTCCTTACAAATTATTAATCACTCTCAACCTGCAGGTAATTAAGTTGACAAAACTCCTTTCTTTAATCCACTTATTGTAAGATTTTTAATTAATTAATCACTAATTTTGCGTTGGGTGTCAACCTCAATAATAATCCTTCTATATTTTGGCAGATTACAGTAGGTCCGATTGTGACTTGTTGAATGGTAGTTGGGTTTTAGAGGAGAAGGGTAATTCTCTGTATTATACAAACTTTAGCTGTCCAACAATTCCTCATTCGAAAAACTGTTTGTTGAACGGAAGGGCAGATGAAGAATTTATGCAGTGGAGATGGGAACCAGAAGAATGTACGCTTCCCCGTTTTAATGCTAAAACATTTTTAACATTTGTTAAAGGAAAGACGATGGCGTTTATAGGCGATTCCCTCGCTAGGAATCATATGGAGTCCCTACTCTGTATTTTATCTTCGGTTAGTCATTCTACTTTTCTTCCTAAATTTATAATTATTCAATATCATGTTCAACTACACATAGTTACATGATATAATTTGAAACTACACCTCCAAATTCAGGCTAATTTTTTTATAAATAGAGTACAGAGAATGAACATAGTTATTTGTGTATCTTTCTAGGGACTGCGTAATTTGGTGCACCAATAATTATTGAAACTATTAAAATTGCATAGAGATGCGTGATCTTTGCTCTTTTTTCTAAGGTCTTAAAATAAGGAAAATTATGACAAGATGTGATCGAGTATGTTTTTGTTGTCAATTTGACTTTGACACTTGGAGGACAATTGTTTCCCCATGTTCCGTTCATTCGGACGCTAATTTCGCAATTAACACATTATTATTGTACGTCCCATCTTTACTTTCTTCCACAAATGCTCATAAAAAATACTACTTCTTTGTTTATTAGATTAAAAACATACTTTTTTTTTGCCTCAATTTAAGTGATACTTTTCAAATTTTGAGATTCAAATAAGTTTATCTTTGATAATAAATTTTCATTTATCTTTCAATTTATTTTGAATTGTCAATTATTGTGACTTATAGTACTTTTCACATAGTTTACAGATATATAAATTTCATTAAAAAAGATTAAAGATTCTACGCACAAATTTTCGGTCAAACTTAAACTGTTTGACTCTCGAAAAATAAAAGAACAGAGGGAGTATTTTTAATTATTTTATCACTTTTGTATTCTCTTGGCGAGCTGATTTTTGGAATTTGGTTGGGCTTAGGCTAGGTGTACCATCTTTACATTTTGTTCTTTCTATCTAAAATTATGTCAAATTTACGTGACTCATTCTTCGACTGCTCCCTTCACATGCAACATAGATTTTATATTCACATTATGCCTTTTTTTATTATTATTATTACACAAATATCATGTGCAATATTGCCGCAAAGAACCACTAAGCTATCATCATCTTTTATGCAACAACTGAGATTTTGACAAAAAAAGAATTATGCAACAAAAAGTAAGATTTAATTTGGTACAAAAACTTGCAGGAAGAAAGTCCAACAGACATGTACAAGGATGTTGAAGACAAATTCAGAACATGGTTATTTCCTCGTCATAACTTCACTCTCATGGTCCTCCGCACAGAATTTCTTGTCTTTGCTACTGAGAGAGTTATCAATGGTTCATTCACGGGCGGATTTGACTTGCATTTGGACAAATTAAATGGGAATTGGACTCAACATTTAACCAACATAGATTATGTTATTTTCTCAGATGGACATTGGTTCCTTCGACCTAATTATCTTTACGAAAATGGAAACCTTATTGGATGTGTTTATTGTGGGGAAGCAGGGGTTCAAGATCTTGGCCCTGGTTATGCCATTCGAAGAGCATTTCAAGCTGCTTTCAACTACATAAACAAATGCGTGGAATGCTCAGGTATATATAGACTCGGTTTTAATCTTGATGGGTTCAATTTTTAAAATTAATCATAAATACGTTGAACTCATTCCTAAAAAGTCTGCACGGTTTTTGAATAGGTATTGTTGTGCTTTTGAGGACATTCTCCGCTGGCCAATTCGAGCAAGGAGCATGGAATGAAGGAGGATTTTGCAACAGAACAAGACCGTTTACTAGAGATGAAGTTAAAATTGGTGATCAAGATTGGGAATTTCGGAACATTCAAATCGAAGAAATTGAAAGAGCAAGAAAAGATGGAGAAAAAAATGGTAACATGTTTGAAGTTGTGGACGTGACAAGAGCCATGTTAATGAGACCAGATGGACATCCAGGAGCCTATTGGGGCAATAAATGGATGAAGGGCTATAGTGATTGTATCCATTGGTGTTTGCCAGGGCCGATTGATACGTGGAATGAATTTTTACAGGAAATTCTTAGAAGAAAATTCCCCAATTTCCATTGATTTTAGTGAAGAATAACATTCTCATTTTATTCAATTCAAAATTTTGTTCTTTGAGTTGTGGTAGGGAGGGACATGTCTTATGAGTAATGTTAGTGGCCTTCAGCCTAAATGAATTAATAATTGTAAATGATGTTAAATTGTTGTATAATAATGCTAATTGTTCAATTCAGCCAATTATACAAGTTTGTTGGTTAAAGTATGTGTTTGAAACAATAAAGATGTAGAAAAGTATGAAACAAAACCACATGTTTCTCTTTTTTTATTGGAAAAAAAATATCAGGAAATTCATATTACAATCTGAAATAGTTTCATAAAACGGCTCACTGAATGAAACAACTAGGGAAGATAGTACATGGAATCTTAGTACATATTTGCAGGTAAAAAATAATGAACACACATATTACTTCTTTTTATTTTGATTTTAAGTATATTGAGGAGGGAGGGAGGGGCCTATGTCCGAGGAACGCGAAAGTAGAGTGGAATAGGATTGTGAGGTTCTGGAGACGAGTCCCAAACAGAAAAGGCGCTGTTGGAGTTCATCCATTTCTCAGTCATCTCTGGATAATGTCGATCTAGTACATCTTTTAAGCTTTCAGTTGTATTCACCCATTCAAGTCCTTTTTTCGTATATGTCTCATCGTTGTAATAGCTGGTGAAAAATTTATCTGCCTCTAACCTTCTGTAAATTTTTAAATCATTAGTCATTCTATAAATCATACTAATATTATGCATAAATGGATTGATTTTTTTAACTCTTAGTACGAACCTTGATGCCATGATTAGAAATATGAAAAAGGCAGTCTCAGAGATAGCAAATCCCTGAATCTTTTTCTCCGCGGACATTCCAACTAACAGATCCAATTGTTCTACTTCATCACCATAAACTTCATGAAGAGTTTTAATGACTTCCTCATCATCTGTCAAATCTTCCCATTTGGAGATGGGAATTTGAAGCATTCTCCTACGAAATTCATTGTACCTAGCAACACTCCTTTCTCTGTCCCTATAAACTGGCATCCGAACAACATGATCAGTTATATGTATACAGGTTTTTTTGAGTAATTTGTCTGTCATGAGAAATAAACTTACTTTCAAGAGCTGCAAGGTCAATATGATGTGGCCTGTCAGTTCCATCAACATCTTGGGCAATAAGATCTCTCATCCACAGTGGATAATTCCAAAGTTCAAGAGCTCCACTAGCTTGATGCCCCATTGAAACCATTTGCTTAGTAAACCCAATTCTTGATAGATTCTCCGTACCTTTACCCCCAATTAAATCTTCCATCAGGATCCTATAGTTTCAATAGGCAACTATTACATCAGGTAAAATTAATTAGTTATTAGCTACTTACAATAATTTAATTAATGCTGCCTTACTCATTAGTCAAAGGAAGAGATTTGTTTAGTCCAGGCGTGGCATCGATATTTCTTAGCTGAAGCGTATCAGGTAGGAGTTGATGCATCCGATAGACACTCGTAAATTCCTCAGTTAAGGAATAAGGCACACCATGATCCTCAGGTTTCTTCATTCCCACAAAACCACCTAAAATGGAACCTCCAACATGCCCAAATGTATCCTTGAATTTCTTTCCTAGCAATCCATACCTGCAAACATAAAATTAGTCACTATTTGACAAAATAAAAATAACTAGTGTTTGAGAGTATATATTGACCAATTGGCGCGCATTCCTGCTAGAAGGGTGTCGGTATTGAGAAGTTCAACTGTCCAATCTATGGTGTGAATTTTTGCAATTACAGCAGAAGTGACAAGTTTTGCATGACGATACAATTCCTCATCTTTCAATTCTGGATATTCTTTCTGGAAATTTGAAAATCAACTCATCAGGTTGTAAGAGTAATCACCAATTAGATAAACAGTGCATTTTAAGTACTTGTATTGTAGGAGTAGTTTATAACTTACTTTATTTTCCAGGTTACTAATTTCAAATTTTATTTGGACAGTATCCTGTAATTATATATGTACCTTCAAGGTGTCACAAACAAGATTATGCTCTTGAACAAAGAGTGCCTGCAGTGACAAAAGTCCAGCCCAAGTATTGCGAACATCACCAGAGATGATTTTCCCATTTTCATCTTGTTCAAGGAGCCCATTTTCTGATAGTTTCAATTTTCCGTATTTAAATGTCCTCACTTTCTTCGAAACTTCTGCGTTGCTCCCATAAATAGCACTTCCATCCCTTCATTTACAAGTACAAATTACACAAATTCCAGTTACTTAAATTTGCAGTATGAAATCTTACCATTGTGGAGTACGCATATTCAAGTGCCCAATCTTGATATCATCACATAAACCCGTAGGAGTTTGCTGGGTCTTGAAAAACTTAAAGGACTTGAGAGGACACTCACTTGCAACTTCTTCAGGTGCCCTTAGCTCAATCTATGTATGCACCAAATTATAAAAGGTTGGTTACCAACAAATTAAAATTAATTAAATTACAGTACGTAACGAATCATTAATTTTCACAAATTGATTGAAAGCATTTCATTACCAAACTGACCTGTTGAGTATCTTCCAAATGATCGATCCAATCATGAATCATAAATTGTATCCATGAGGCAGCTATCATGTTAAATTGTTTTCCTGTGTCTATGAATTTTCTGCGTGCTAGCAGCTTTGTTGCAACTACCATAGGATCTGGATTCTTTAACTACAGTTTTAAGAAAGAAATAAATTTCTTAAATTTTTTATTTTGATATATAATTTCAAAAATCTAAATCATGCTCAAAATAACTTGTCGTTGAGTCCTTTGATCAACTATTCATCATTAATGTTTAATTCAAATATCTCCTAGTATATCACAACTCACAAGTAGGTCTTTAGTTTTTGCTCAAACAAACAAACAAAAATTATTGTAAGAAAGTTTATCATTTCCTTGAAAGTGGCTTTGGTAATGTTATGTTGGACTAGTCAACATAATATGCGCTTGACTATATGTTGTCATAATCAAGGTAAAAGAAATGGATTATATGATTTAAGTGGGTCGGATCGAGTTAAAATTGGATTATTTTAGTTGATTTGGGGATTTCCATTCAATTGAGGGGTACAAATGATGAAATTAGTACCGGCAAGGGTAAGAATAACTTTATTTTAACGGTAAGTGGATAATCAACCAATAAAATAAAGTTGAGAGGTATTTTTTACCCTTTTCCCAAAATTAAATAACCAAAAATACCAACAAAAATCAAAGTTATGAAAATCAATTTAATTAATTTCATTTGATTTAATTTCATCATTTGAAAAATCAGCTTAATTGATTTCATTTGCTTTTAAAAAGGGACTCAAATGAAACTAGGGACACCCGTGGTTGCACAGCAAAGGAAATAGGAGTACGTCCTTTGTGGTAGCATCGTTTTCCTTGCTATCTATCGTTATTCACTGCTATACATACGTAGAGTATATTCAAAGTTGAGTTAAGTTTTATGCACAAATATTATATATATTATTTATAAGATCATGATATGGTGCATGGTAAGTACTGTTTTAGTCATGCAAGCCATTCACACAAACGCAAATTTAAGTATTATTATTAATTTAATTTTTAAAATTTTCAGTATTATATAGATTATATCTTTAAAGTTATCATCCGTTCATATTTATAATTTAATTTCTTGCAATTTTTATAAATTTTTAAACATAATTTTTTATTTTATTTTTAAAATATTGAATTCAGATGTATCTGCGCTTTGACGTATGGTCCCCTCAGAAAATCCAAATCTGAAATGAAGTTTTGTGAATTGGGACCATACATGCAATGCGAGGTCACTTTTGCACCAGAAGAGCTTTGTGTTTTTGCCTAAACCTTTGACAATTCAAAATCTTGCCACTAATTAAAATAGTTCTTTCTTAGAAAATAAAAGTGCCATAAATTGTTCTTTCTTAGAATGGTTAAAGTATGTACCCTTGATTACTTTTATAAAACTTATAAATTTAATAGTATCCTGGTAAGGAAAATAAAAATATTTTTTTTAAATGAAACATAATCAAACTTATGAGTTATGAGATATGCTAATTAATAAGGGTATATACGTAAATATGTATATTATGGAAGGGTTATTTTAGTCTTTAAAAAAATAATTTTCTATTTCTGCTTCTGATTCTGTTAAGAAGAGAGATTTTTAGTTTATAACAACAAAAAAAAATTGTTTTTGCTTCCATTTAAAAACACATTTAAGGATTTGCCAACACTAATTTTTTATTTTAAAAAAAAAAACACTTTTGACCTTCTAACAACAATGTCAAACAGGCTCTAAAGGCTTAGATAGGTAAAACCTTGGTAAATCCACAATCGCTTATAAGTTGCTAGGTGGATTCAAAATTTTATATCTAATGAGTTCAATTTTTGAGATTGTTAATATCACACACATTATTTAAACCCAAGTAATTATATCAACAGGCCCCTATAAATTGGGGGATGACTAATATATTACTTTTGATTAAATTTTTGGCTTATAAGTATTTATCAAATGAGTAGATAAATTAGAAAATGTTTATAAGCAAGTAATTTATACCTTTTCATGTTGATCAACAGGCATCATATTCCTACCAAAGAAAGGAAATTCACTGCCACCTCCTTCATTAAAGGGGTCGTTGTATTTTCCAACGGCCCGATTTGATGTAACGTCAGTAGGTTTTCTACCGACGTTGATCAAATTATATTCCTGATGAAGATGTCGCCGTGCTGCGAGATAAAGTAACCCCAAGAACACCGGTAGCCGATGCCACAGGTTCAATTTATCAACCAAGTGAACCATCTGCGCGCATGCATGTCACAACTTTAATTATAAAATGTACGTACGTACAAAAAAGGATTAATTTAAAACAATTTTGATTGTACTGTAACATAATACCAAGAGGTAAGGTAACTAGACTATATAGCAAATAAATTTATTTACAGATCGATTGAGGAGCACAACCAACAAATCGAACAATAATAACATACATCAAACGCAGATTCTTATCTCCACCTTGTGAAGGTAGAAATGTCATTTCTGAAAGACTCTAGACTTCTTAAT